ACTGCCCGTCTTGCCGGGTGACCTCTGACGTGGCACTCGCGCCCGGCACGCTCGTCTTCCTGTTTCTTGAGTAAGGCCACTTGCTAAGGCCAAGAGCCTTGCACGCGTTCTTGAGGGCGGTCAGAGAAATCCCCTGCACAGCTCCGTCATGAACAAGCGCGAGGGAGGGAGAGAGGGGATAGAGGGAGGGAGAGAGAGAGGGATAGAGGGATAGAGGGATAGAGGGATAGAGGGAGGGAGGAGGAGGGAGGGAGGGAGGGAGGGAGGGAGGGAGGGAGGGAGGGAGGGAGGGAGGGAGGGAGGGAGGGAGGGTGGGAGGGAGGGAGGGAGGGTGATAAGCAGTGGCAGGCGCTCTTCATCTCGCGCTGTCGCTTTTGGTCATTGAGAGGCTTTCCCGACATGCCCCTCATGGAGGTCGCTCGATTTGTGTATGTGGCGGTGACGCTCAGCAGGATTATGCGCTTGTTACGTCGCTGCGCCGCATCTGCCTGCATGAAACGCTGAGGAAACTTGGAAGTGTCATGGCCATCTCGATGCATGAAAGTTGAAGGTCAGGTGCTGGAACCCCATGCGCATCGACATCTTGCAAGCCAAGACCAAGTGCTCAGTTCGTCGATGGCGATCCAAGGTGAACAATCTGAAGATGAGCTCATCAGGCTCATGTGTCAACAGGGAGTTGCAACAGTCACGCTAGTCAATCAGGTCGCTTGTTGTGCCTCCTTTCACTCCCTTTACGCTCCTCAAGATCGTGGTGATCATGTACTTTTACTTTTGGATCAGCCCTCCCACGTTGTACGCCCTGTACTATGGTAGAAGACTACCAGATAAAGTCTGACGTGAATGTACTATGGTAGAAGACGAACAGATAAAGTGAATGTACTATGGTAGAAGACGAACAGATAAAGTGAATGTACTATGGTAGAAGACGAACAGATAAAGTGAATGTACTATGGTAGAAGACGAACAGATAAAGTGAATGTACTATGGTAGAAGACGAACAGATAAAGTGAATGTACTATGGTAGAAGACGAACAGATAAAGTGAATGTACTATGGTAGAAGACGAACAGATAAAGTGAATGTACTATGGTAGAAGACGAACAGATAAAGTGAATGTACTATGGCAGAAGACGAACAGATAAAGTGAAAAATGTACTATGGTAGAAGACTAACAGATAAAGTGAATGTACTATGGTAGAAGACGAACAGCCAAAGTCTAACTTGAAGTCTGCGTGTCCTGCGAGCCGAGCAGCATGGAGGAGCGCATATAATCGCCGTCCACCTCAGTCATCCATGAACTTGACACGTTTCCTTGGCTCGGGAGAGAGCCATGGGGAGACGTTGATGGATTTGCCTTGACAGATACAAGCGAAGAACGAGGAGACTGCGTGGAGATGTGATAGAGAGAAGGCATAGTTTGACGCGTCGCAGCTGCGCTTCTGGTTGCTTCATCATCCTTGCAGATCAGTTCTTCTGTGTAGCTCTTGCTCTGCTGCATCAACCCGACTTGCGTTCTTGTGCTCTCCTCGCTCGATACTCTTTCTGTATGCTTGGCCGGCAACTCCAGAGGCACATCGCCACGTGTGAGGGCGACGACCTGTCGCTGATAGCTCTGCTTCATGGTCTCGAAGTTTGACAGACAGCGAGCAACCTCCATCCAGCTTGCGGTAGAAGCGACGTCATGCGTGAGCTCATCCGTCTTGTGCTCTAACGTCTGCATACCAGCGGCAAGAGCTTGGAAGTGCTTGCTCAACTTCTCTCGTCCCAACCGAATCGTCTCTTCTCTGACCGCACGATCAAGAAGAGTCTTCTCCTCTTGCCTTGCTTTGATTAGTTGCACGTCTCGTCTTTGATCTGAGATCTGCCTCTCTGCCATCTGTTTGTCCAGCAACAGGTGCTGGGCTCGTTGCCGGAGGAGGTTGACTTGACTGTCCATGCGGTCCCAAAGGTCCTGATGCTCGCGGGTGGAGGCGTCGAGGTACTCGATCCTCGCGAGCTCGCGGTAGAAGAGCTCGGCGAGCTCGATGTCAAGCTCTTCGACGCTCTGATGCACCCGAACGATGTCCTTCTTGGTCGCTTCCAGGTGCTGCAGCAGATTTCTTGCCGCCATGATGGCTGAGTCTCTTTCCTGACAAGCCTCAGTTACCTTGCTCGACAGGTGCTCCAGCATCTCATCCGATCTCGCCGTGTCTCTTTGTTTGCTCTCGAGACTGATCTTGAGCTCCTCGATTCTTCTCTTTCGGTCTTCGACTTCTCCCTGGAGCCTTCTACACTTATCAGACTCTCGTGAACTACTCGCACACTCCTCAACTTGCGCTTGCATTTTGTTCATCTCGGATTCCAAGGCAGCCACTTTCTCCCGCAGTTTGACTCCACTGACTTGCATCATCGAAGTTCGTTCAATCCACTTACGTTGGTTCTCCTGCAGATCAGCTTCTTTTCTCTGAATTTCTTCATGCAAAGCAAGCAGGTTGGTAGATGTTTCCCGCTGCAAACACAGATGTCAATTCTGAATAGCGCTCGTCCAAGGAATTACAATTTTGAGTTGTGAATTCTTGGATTCAGCTTCCAAGGTCATGATAACACTTTCGTTTTCCTTACAGACATTCCTGATGTTCTCTAATCTTCTGCACACTTCAAGTCGTTCACTTTCAGCAGACTGCAACTGGAAAACAAGGTCTGAATATGAGCTTTCTTGAGATCTGAACTGCGAGAGCGTGTCTTGTCCTTTGGATTGATTTCGTTTCGACTGTAGCTTATTCATTAAAACACCTATTTCCTTTTCAAGGGAATCCTTTTTATCTTGATGGAGAATACCGTCAGAATGGATAGGAGTCTTCAAAGCATGTCACGATGGAGATGTGACTAACCTGATGTGTTTTCGTTTCCTGGCGAATCCAAGAAATGTCTCGAGCTCTCGATCTTGTGCATGACGTGGAGTCGGTGCTCATTTTCCTGCTTGACTTGAGCATCTAGACCTTCACAGACCTGCTGCTCGTTCTCCACCCTGCGCATGACCTGAAAGAGCAGAGCGAATGATTGAAGAGCAGGATGACGCGCGCGGACCTGACTGAGAGAAACTTCTATTCGCGTGAGAGCCTCATGGTGTTTTCTTGTCTGCTTGTGAAACATGAGACAAGGATGTTCTCCTACGTCTCTGACCTTCTCTTTTCCTGCTCCTTCTCTCGCAATCCTTTGCAGCTCATCTCTCAGAGCGGTCTATGTCAACAAGTCACGACATGACACTGAGCGTCACATCCCCTGGACCTGGTAAGACTTCTGCTCGACGATCAGGTTGCTGGTCATCTTGATCTCATTCTGTGCGGTGCTATGCCTTATCTGACAAGTTTTTGACGCCAAGTCATGTTATCTTTCAATCGCTGCCAACAATGTTCACCTCTAGGCTTTGCAACTCTTGGGATGCAGACAGCTTGCTCTGACAGTCAGAGGAAGGATGTGAGTGACATGGCAAGAGAGATCATGTTGGGGAACTTCACATTGTCAATCATAGAGCGGATTTCTTCCATCTCTCTCTCGATATCCCTTAAAGCTGTTCGCAGACCCTAACAGCAACGTTCATTCCCACCATCGGTGAAAGATCAAATATCACATTGAGCTTGGATAGACCGTTTCTGTTATCGATCTCTAAAAACAAAAGAGCATCTCCGCGGATCAATTCAGTCTTGTACTGCACTAGAAAGCAGCAACAATATTGACAACTGTTCACGTAATGTTTGAAGCGTAAGTGAGCAAACCTTGGGATTGCTTTCTCTTGAGCGTCAAGACAACTCTAGTCCCTCGAGGTCCGACTATCATCGTCTGAAGCTGCAATGCAAGAATGTCAGAAGTTGAGAGAAACATGATGCAACACGCATCACCAGCGCCAACTTGATCCCTCTTGTACTCTTTCCATCTACCTCTACAAGGATGTCGCCTTCCTGTGGTGACGTGTGAGCCCAGGCCTGCTTTGTTGTGCTGACCTGAATGACTCCGTCTCTCTCAGCTGCTCCCCCGCGATTCAGACTCATCACTTGCAACTGATCATGTACATGTGAGGTCCTTGAACCGTCACACAGAGCGACTGCTGAGCACCTCTCTGGAGCTGTTGTACTGGATCTTCATTCCTATGCCGCTTCCTGTGCATGCACCGTGAGGCTTTTCACAGGCGAATGTGCCCATGCAACCTCTAGGCAACGAAGGGGAAGCTCCTCTCGCGTGGACTCCATACCCACCGAAGTTCTGTGGAAGCAAACTTGAGCACAGCAAGCCAAGGTGGAGGAGGGAGTCTGGGGTCAGACCTGTACGAAGTGAGAGGCTTGATGGGTTCGGAGGCTGCCGCTGGAGGAGGAGGAGGAGAAGAGTCGAGCATCTCGCGCTACCGCCTCATAGCTCATGTACAGGTCTGCCGGCGCCGACATGTTCCCCCTCCTCTCTGCAGTACCCCAGGGCTGCTGCTCCTACCCCCCAACTTGTTCACGTATCCTTAGGGGGTGGGGTACTCGTTATTGGTCACTGGCATGGTAGCAACTTGCTATACAGCACAGAGAAGAGGAGGGAGGAGGGAGGAGGGAGGAGGGAGGAGGGAGGAGGGAGGAGGGAGGAGGGAGGAGGGAGGAGGGAGGGCCTAGCTTCGCGCAGTGCTGTTCGGCTGGCGTGTCCTCAAGCATTGAGCTTATTGATTGTCTTGATGGCGGGAGAATCGACAAGGGTGATATGCAAAGCGATGAAGCAACGATGGCGAACCTACGCGAGGAACGGAGGGAGGTAACGCAGCATCAGATTTACTTTGATCGCTTCCTCTACTCATCATCTAGAATCGCGAGACGGGGGTTCAGACTTCATTCGTCACTGTCACCAGACTGATCCTCGTAGCGTCGACGCCTCTTCGGCCTCTGCACGCAGGAGTCACAAGGAGAGGAGAAGTCTTACTCTCACCCTCGCGCTTCCGTTCTCAGTCGAGTCGATCCCTTCGCTGCTCCGACGGCGTTTGCTCCTGCAAACCCGTCAGGTCGGGGAAGTGCAGCAACTTCACACCACCGGTCAGAGAGCTTGCGGTCCATCCGCTCCCTCTTCAAGCGAGCGAACTCCTCGATGTCTCTTTCCTCTTCCAGGCACTGCCTCGCGACTTCACTCGTGGTCTCCTCCGCCTCTCCCTACCTTCGTGAACTCCGCGTCCGTCAGACCATGATGCGACACCGAGTGAGCGCGGTTGACCCTAGAGGAATGAGGCTGTGTTAGCCATGCATACCATCGTTGCTTAGCGGCATGCGTTACGTTCTTCTCCTCCCGAGCTTGGCAGCATCAGAATCTTCTTCGACCACCTGACAAACGAGCCCTCACTGCATGCTCGTCCACCTGTCGCCTCACCTCGGGAACAAGCGCCATGCTCGTGCGGTTCACAACTTCAACTTGACCATCATCAAGCGCCACCTGCAGGGCATGAGCAGAGCGACGCCTTGTCTCTGTGCGTACCTCCCAATCGAGGCCCTCAGCCTTTTTAACGACATTGCCAACTCTGAGAAGCGTCAGATGCACTTGGCCAGGGGCCGAGAGCTTGTCACCTTGAGTCGAGGAGGATCACTCGGTCTCCCTCTGCGATCTTATCTCCCAGAAGCTCCTCGGGCACCTGATTCCCGTCAACCCTCTCGTCTCTCCCCCCTCCTGTCAGGCCTACTTCACTCTCTTGCATCAGCCTCGGCCTTTGCTTCCCATCCTGCTGCTTCTGAGGAATTCAAGAGTCAGCATCAGCTCCTGGTCTAGGTTTCAGTTAGTCGTGCTCACTTCTCGTTCGACATCCATCTGCTGCCAGAGTTCGTACTCCTCCTGCTGCTGCCTCAGCAGCTGCCTCAGAGCATCATGTTCTCACGCACCTCAGATCGCATGATAAGCTCGTTGATCTCTTCATCCCGCGCAACTTCCGCATCGATCTGGCACAACCAATCAGAGGAGGCGAGGTGAGGCTCCTCCCGTCACCTTGCCGATGTCTGCAAGGATGTCTTCCTCGTCCAGCTTCTTCTTGAGCACCTGAAGGGCAAGCAGCTCACACCCCCGGCGACTCCCACGGAACATGTCTGAACCTCCTGCGCGTCCTTGGAGTTGGCGCCGACCTGAAGCAAGGTGAGGCGCATCCACGTCAACCAGGCTCACCTTAAAGACTCCCGACTCGATGACCAGATCTCCCATGCGCAAACGCGCGTTGGCTCGATTGATCATCCGCTCTTCGACTGATCCCACAGTCGTCAGCACAAACAGCCGGATGAAAATGCGTCACCTGTTCCCGGGGTCATGAGTCGGATGACCAATGTCTGCCAGTCAAGGTGCATGAGTCAGTCATTAGTTCTTACATGACAGCCAGTGAGGGCAATCGCATTGACTACAAGTGAGCTAGCTCGTCTGACCTGCTTCTTTTGACCGATTCGATTGATCCTTGCTTTCGCCTGCAGAACAAGTCAAGAACGTGAGCAGTAGGGACGCCGAAGCACCTGCTCATCCATCATGGGGTTCCAGTCGCTGTCAAAGATGATCACAGTGTCGGCCGTCTGAAGGTTCACACCTTGACCGCCTGTACAAGCGAATCAAGAATTAACAAGAGGCTCGTAACTCGACCTGCACGGGTTGAAAGGAGAAAGATAAAGATCTCAGAGTCTTCTTTGTTGAATTCTTCAATCAAAGTGGCGCGATCATCTGATGCCGTAGCTCCGATAAGCTTATTATAAACATAATCCTTCTCCTTCACGTAGGTCTCCAGGATTTCTAGAAGTCTCACCATCTGCGAGTAGATCAACACTCTGTGTCCTGCTGCTTTGAGTTTGGGCAGAATTCGATCCAAGACATCAAATTTCCCACAGACTCGAACAATATTCTCTTCGCCCAAATCCCACTGTTCATCGAGGAGGTAGGGATGATTACAAACTTGACGTAATCGAACGATGATATTGTTGTATGCTTTGGCAGTGACGTTGCCCTTCTCGTCACGAGATCTCAAGACAGCATGCTGCAGTTGTCGGTACATGATACTCTGTAATCCAGATAAGGAACATTTGATGATCACTTCTCGGTTTTCGGGCATTGAAAGTTGCAAATCTTTGTCGGTCTTAACTCTTCGCAACATGAAGGGTCGCAGGACCTGATGAAGACGGTTGATCAAAACCATTTGTTCCTCGAGAGATGCTTCTTGTTCCTCTTCGTCGTCATTGGCAATTGCGAACGGCTTTGAGAACCAGGTTTTGAAATCTTGATCTGTATCAAAAACATGTGGCAAAAGAAAATTTAGGAGATTCCACAACTCTGTTATATTGTTTTGTAGAGGAGTTCCTGTCAAGATCAGCTTTCGTTTTGAAGTATACTCTTTCGAGAGGACGATGAACAACTTGCTGTCTTTGTTTTTCAGCCTGTGACCTTCATCAACTATAATATACGACCATGTAAATGTCTTCAAATTTCTCATGTCTTCTGATTTCATGGCCATTTCATATTGTACGATTAATACCTGAAATCCACCTGATTTCATTTTTGACCTAAAAAGATTTCTTCGCACGTCTTTGTTTCCTTTGTAAACGATTACCTCCAGACCAGGTGCCCATCTGCTGAATTCAATGGCCCAATTCGTGATGGTGGAAAGAGGAGCTATTATCATGAATGGACCGTTGTCACCTTTGGATTCGATAATGTAGGTAAGAAGACCAATCACTTGAATGGTCTTTCCCAGACCCATTTCATCTGCGAGTATGCCAGACAAATTGTTGTTGTAAAGAGAAACAAGCCACTGCACTCCTTGTATCTGATATGGCTTCAACTTGAGCTCAGGCCCACCCATGATACTGGGCTGTTCAAAAACAACTTCTTTGACAACATGTTGCAGGGCTTGTTCAACGCTTTTTGTTGATACTGGACCTTTAACATCAGTCTGAGGCGGAGCCGCCTCATCTTTTTCACTCTTTGCTTCTTCCTGGTCTTCATTGGTGTTCTTGGTTGATTCTGACTCATTCTCATCCTCAGCATTGGATGGCAGAATCTGATGGTCCAGTTCAAGCAAAGCACCTGCTGACTGATCGCTTGCTCCGCCAGCCAACGTCTTTGAGGCACGCGACATCTTGTTGGCAAGCATAGAGAGGTAGAGATCTGTCTTCGAGATCAACTCGTTGAGACGTTCGTTCTTGGCACTCTTCACGTACTCCCTATAACGATCAAAATCGTTCGCCTTCAGAGCCGCCAAGCGATCAAGCTTTTCCTTATCACGAAGCTTTTCGGCATTTTTGTGCCATTGTCGTATCCCCTTGCAGATCTGTTCTCTCAATCGCTTTACATTATTATGAAAGGCCAAGAAGTCCCTCTGTGTCCTTGACATGTCATCCAGAAACAGCTTCCGCCTGTTCACTTGGAATCGATCTTCGTATTGCTTACGGGTGGCCTCCCACTGTTTCTCATATTCTTCTTGTGTGACGTTGGCTTTTTCGTCATATTTGTGAAGAACATTCATGTTTTCATATGAAGGAATAGCCTGGTCCACATGGCAGCTCAGAAGACAATCTCGAACCTCTTGTTGTAAGTTGTACAGCTTGAGCATCATCTTTTCTCGCTCCACTCGCTCCGCCACGTGCAAAGGCATGTTGGCCGTAGGAGTTCTTGCTAACATTTCCTCGCGAGCCTTCATATGACTTTGAAAATGTGAGGTTGACTTGTTCGCAACCTCCTTCAAGAACTCGATCGAAGGACGATTGTGACGATCTAGAGGGAGAACTTTCGCTTCATCGCTGGGCTTCGTGCCAGCATCAAGATGATTCAAAGTGGATGTGAGAAAATCTTCCAAATTAAATGGGTGCACTGGTCGCTTATCACGAGTACAGAACGAAGGAGTAGAAGCCCCTCGTGCCTCGGCAAGAACAGGGAGTGGAACAGGTAGATCTCTCTGGAGCAGAGACAGCGCTTTTAGCTGTGCCTTCAACTGCGCTCTGACGAGTGTGTCATCCCTGCGCTCTGATCTTTTGTCCAAAGCTCTCCTAGAAGAGGAGGGTTGATCTGAGAGCGGATGTCTCTTCTCTCTCATCTCTATCTCTTCCTATCTCTTTCTCTGTCCTCAATGACTCCTCGCTTCCTTCCTGTTTCTTTCCTGTTTCTCTTCTTCTCTTTTCCACTCGACAGGCTCCTTTCCCTCTCTTCTGCTGCTCGCCTGCTGCCTAGTCGTACCCCCCCAATCCTCTACGAAATGGCGGGTCCTCTGAAAACTTTGTGATACTTCTCATAATTTTGAAAAGTAAAGGGTAATTTTGGAAAATTGTTTTCGCAGTTTAAAATTGCTAAGAAATTTTCTTCAGGGAAGGCCCGGCGACACACTGGAGTCACCTGTGACTAGTTGGGCTACCCGGTGCGGCTAGTGACTAGTTGGGTTACCCGGTGCTAGTGACTAGTTGGGCTACCCGGTGCTAGTGCTAGTGACTGGGATACCGGTCGAACTCCGGAAGAGCACGACATACCCGAGCTCAGAATGTACCCGATCTGGCTGCGATGACGCAAGCCAGTGAAGCCTGGGAAAAAAATAACGGAGTTGATTAACAGTACGCGAATGCCATCAGTTTCTAGAACTGTCTCCCGGCAAAATTGTCTCCTCCTGCACTCAAGTTTCACCTCCAGCATTCAGTACGGTCCCGGTCACGCGGCTCACCTCTTCATTCAAGTTTGGCTTTTCCTTGTCGATGAATTTGTCATAGATGTAGCACCTGCAAACAGAAACTTAATCCCTGCGCCCTCCTTCTGTGACAAGAAACTGACCCCCTCAAGTTGAAACAGCAAGCAAGAATACTGAAAGAGATGTTAGCAACAACGAAAATTCACAAATCCTATATCATTACATTATCGTGATCCCGACAAGGAATGCATAACCGAAGCATCGAGCAAACATTTCTCGAATTTGCCAAATCTGGTTTGCATGAGGAAATAGCAGATGGCAAGCAGAGAAAACATACATCGGTGAAGGATGGCCCCTGCTTTGCTTGTTCTTCCTCCTCCTTGGTCCTAAACCAATCTCATGAGCAACGGTCATGCCCTTGAATAAATTCACCTCTTGTAGTGCATCCCACCGAAGCCCACAACTTCTTTCGCATCATCCCCCTGCTCTGCCAGCATGTGCTTCTTTGCCATCCGGTTCACAGCTTGTGCCTGAGCACGTGTGTCAAGACCGGATTTCCTGCAGATAATTTCTCCACCTTGAGCTCTCCCATCTTTCTTCCTGACATCTTTTGAATCGCAGCAGTAGTTACCTGTCGTACTACAGTGAGAATTCACGTGAGGTGCATCATCTCTCACCTTGCTTGAGGAAACATCACTGATGGGGAGAGTGGCTGATGCCTGAACGGCCAACAGAGCAAAGCTCAAAACGAAAAGGAGCGTTCCCATGGCACAAAGGTGTGCTACAAACCCTGCAAACGAATCAAGAGAAGATCAACGCATGAATCTGTCTACCTCCGTTCTTTGATGCGTCAATCAATCCTTCTGACCCCTCCGCCTGCCTTGAAGATGTTGACACCTGGAAGTGCAGTTAGAACCAAATGCCTCGCAACAAGTGACAGGTAATCTTTGCGCCATCATTCCTCCACATATCTTCCAACACTGTAATCATCACTTTGGTTGTTCTGTGTGTACCTGGCACATCACCACACTACTACTCCTTCCGTCTCGCCCTCTACGTTCTATCCTGCTTCATACCATTCAGGTCGATGATTCTATTTCCGGGTATGTACCACATCCCCTCACTGACCGGTGATGACCCAGTCGTTTCATGTCAAGTGCGACCGTTACATTTTGAGGTTGACATGCCGCCCGGCCTTCAGCGTGGAAGCGGCATGGCGGTCACGGGGATGCTGATGGTGGCGATGATAGGCGGCGGGGGGTTGGCGGGGGCTACAGGACCAGCAGATGCCGCGACAGTCGAAAAGCCTGTGATGATGCTTGCTCGACCGACATCGTCGCCCTCCGGTTCTATCCCGGTGTTGAACGCCTGCGTGGACAGATCGGACTGGCGTTTTGTTTGGAATGAAGGGGGGTTCTTATGGACTAGCTCTTGTTCGGAGTATGTGACGGGAGGCGGAAACTGCCATGTGGATGTTGGTTACGCGCTTGATGAGGAGAGATGGATCTCAGCGGAGGAAGCTTGTCCGTTCTCTTGTGGGAGATGCTGCGACAAGGTCTGCGGCACGGCGGGATCTTCTTGTGCTTCGGCGTGTTTGAACCTCAGCAGCTCATACCAGTCTCTCCTTGAGTTTGCCTTAGCTTGGAACTCATCAGAATTCAAATCAGTTCTCAGTACTCCAACAGCCTTCCAGCTTATACCTTACGCACCTGAAACATTTCTCGACCGCGCTCTCGTGTACCTGATTCCAGTAACTCCTGGTGCCAAGACTCGGTACAGGCTTGAGTGCGCTGCATCGTCTTCTCCTTGGATCGACAGCTCAAGGGTTGAGGTCACGACGAGCTGCGCTCATCTTCAGGCAATTTCGTTTCTTCCAGGCTCGGGGACCAGCTCCGAGTTTCTATCGGACATGGTAGAAGTCAGCGTTGAGATCAAGACGCCTCCGCCTGTGATACAGGTCACTCAGTGCGCGATCGTGAAGGCCAACGTGACTGAGATGCTTGAGTTCGATGGCATTACCAGCAAGTACTCCGATCAAAGCTGCTCGTACCTAGTCGTCGACATTCTCGCTCAAGGGCTTCTCAATGCAACCGCACGAATTCGTTATGCAGAGAACCAAGTGACCGGCAGCCTGGCAATGACGGATCAAGCCATCGGCAGAGCCACACTGACCATGTTGGAATCTGGAGTTGTCGCAGCGCTGGCATTCCGGCCAGGCACCACACCAAGTGACCTCGTGCTTTCTCCTCGATTGGTCGTTCAGTCTCCCGCGCCCGTGCGCTCCTTTGACTGGATGGGCACCGTCGGCTTGTGGAACTTTACACTTGAGTCTCTGCAAGGCACCTACGAGCGAGAGGTCAACCCTCTGAACGGCTGTGCGGAGGTTCAGCCGACGGTCATCCATCCCTCTCAGGTTCGTGATGCCTCCAACTTGCTCGGTGCAGCTGTTCTCAAGGGCCCCGTATGTAAGAGTGGCACTTGGGAGCTTCCTGCTCCCTTCAGCCCCTCCATCTCTTCCTTCCTCGTTGACAAGATGAGCGACGGGTCTCGCCTGCAGGGCCTTGAGTTCAACTCCCTCAACTCCGAGCTCTTTGTACAGGACGATCTTTCCCTAGCGCATGCTGCCGGTCTACTCCCCACTGAGACCTTGTCCCTTGAAGTCTGGTTCTCTATCAATCCTGCAGGAAGCATTCCCGTCGCTGGCCTTGTCAGCGCAAGGAGCGATGGGCCCGAGCTTGCTGGACATCAGTATGGGAAGGGATGGAGCCTGAGCTACTCCGTAGAGGACGAGCTTGATGAGACGAGGATCGAGTTTGCGGTTGCGACGCAGAAGCAGGAGCTGATCGCAGGACTTGGAGGCTTCGCCACGCTGGTGGGAAGAGTATCACCTAGGCTTCCTGCGGTATCTCAGGTGTCTCGAGATTTGCGAGCTGAGCCTTCACCTAGGACAAGATGATTCATGTGGCCGTCACGTTCAACGGCTCCCACGCGTCGATCTTCATGTCAGGGGAGCTGATCGCACAGAGCGACATGTGCGGGGCACAGGTGAGAGCTTGACGAGTCTGCCGCTGTTGCGACACATGACGATGATGAAAGCGGAATGAGACTTGCGGTTCGATCCTCTACCCCGATCGGAGAGACCTGCTTGCCTTGAATGTCTCCGGCAGTCTCATCGTAGGCGCTCTTGATCAGCGCAACGGAGAGAGAGCAAGCCACATGGTTCTCGCATCCCTCCCCCTCCCCCTCTGATTCTCCAGCTCCCCCTCCCCCTCTGATTCTCCAGCTCCCCCTCCCCCTCTGATTCTCCAGCTCCCCCTCCCCCTCTGATTCTCCAGCTCCCCCTCCCCCTCTGATTCTCCAGCTCCCCCTCTCCATCTGATTCTCCAGCTCCGCAGGGGCTGATCCGCTTTCTACGTATCTACAACAAAGCTCTCAGCTCCGAGCAAGTCCGAGTAGCATCGCTGCGGTATTCGCTTGACTTCGCCATTCTCCCTTGCCCTACCGGTCACTATGGACCTTACGAGGTCTGCCTTGTGTCTTTCTTGTCGTGAGTGTCTGACGAGTAGCCAGGGCTTGCAGCCTTGCTTCCAGTGTCCTCCGGGGACTTTTGCTGCTGCCATCAAGAGCGAGCGCTGCCTCCCTTGCCCTAAGACCTTCTTTGCTCCCTCCTCTGGCAGCAAGGAATGTTTGCTCTGCCCCGTCGGTCTGTCCACCGCTCAGGAAGGAAGTGCTGCCTGCACGGATGACGCCTGCATGCTGGGGCAAGTCTCCTGCTCACCAGAGGCCCGATGCGTCTGGAGCAACGGGACTGCGACATGCGAGTGTTGGCAAGGATACAAGCGTGAGGGACCTGTATGTCGAGCTGTGTGCGGAGATGGCATACGTGTGAGCGAAGAAGCTTGTGATGATGGCAACGTCTTGTCGGGGGATGGATGCTCGTCATCATGCCAAGTGGAGAACGGTTTCATGTGCACCTTACTGAGAGACAAAAGCTTCTGCTCCTGCACATTAGGAGGCAGGGACTGCTGCATCGCAAACTACTCCTTCTGCTTGCGGAACTACGAGGTTTTGTCGTCGACACGGGAAGGGTGTTACAGGTAAAGTGGAGAGGGGCGATATCTACCCTGACGCTTATGCAGCACCTTCTCTCGCTGTTTGCTTGCCGCTGACAAGACTCTCATCCCCTCCCTCTCCTCGCGCGTGTCTCTCTTTTCCTCCTCGAGCCTGCGGCAGGAGGGCCCCTGCGACGCCAAGGAGGAGGTCGACTGTCAGCAGCTGGAGGCAACCTGCGAGGCTGCTCCTGACTGTCTGCTCGCGTACGCGCGATGCCTCAAGGCAGTCACCTGCTCGCCAGTGTGAAGGACCAGGACCAGGAGGAGATTCAGCAGCCGGAACAGATCATTGTAATTTACACCTTTCTTTTTGTACAAACACAGTGAATGTCTAATCTCCCGTCACTTTGTCTCGATCAGCGGCTTGTACTTGTTCACCCAAGCTATAAGCTGCGCACATTTCTTTTCTGCAGTCAGCAGCATGTCGGTCTTCTCCACAATCTGCTTCTGCAATTCCAACTGCTCGATCTTACTCCTTTCCCTCTCTTCTTCCACTTCCCCAACCCGCAGGCGTATCTCGCTCTCGAACTTCTCCCGCATGCTTTTCATCGCCTGAACCCTCATGAGAAATCTCTGAACCCCAACCTTCATTGACTTGGCGTCTTTGTGGTGGCTGCAGAGGCTGTACATGACAAATCGTAACCTCTCACTTCTCATCCTCTTCTCGAAGAATCGGACGCACGAGGCCTGCCTCTCCAGGATCTCCTCCTCGCATGTTGGCTTGAGCGACAGTCGGGTCAGGCTTGTCTCCGACACTCGAATCCTTGCGGCTTCGCCCACCAGCGACTTGATCTCCTCTACCAGGTGACTCAGCAGCGCCACTTGATGTTGCCTTCCCCTCCCATCTGCCTGAGGCGCTTGAGACATCTCCACTTCAGTGTATTCGGGATTTTGGTCGAATGAGTTGACATGACTTGACGTTTTCTCGCCATTTCCTTCTGATCTCTCGATCTCTTGCAACTGTTTGTTGTAATGGATGTTCTCTCGCATTTCGCGAATGACTTGTTGTTGCATGTTCACTGTTTCTGTCAGCGTTGCATTTTCTTCGAGAGCCTCAGCTAACTTTGAGTTGAAGGCTCCCTTGACCTCGACTGAGTTGGACTTCACTGTCGAATTCCCCAAGTTCGTCTTGAGCGCATCAAGTTCGTCCTGCAGGGCCTGCACTTGTAGCTCCTTCGCCTTCATGTCTCTGCGAAGCTTCTCCTCAAGCATCTTACTCGACTGCAGCCGTTCACTCGCATTCGTTGACAGAGCATTCGCCTCTGCTATCTTCCCATGCAACTTTGCCAGTTCGTTCCCCTTTGCCAAGAGCAAGGCGTCGTAATCTTCGACACGCTTGTACAGGATTGAAAGCTCCTCATTTGACTCTGAGTTGCGAGACTTCAAGCCTTGGATCTTCTGTAGCTGATCTTGAATGATGTACCGCTTCTCTTTCATATCAAGCTCTGACTGCACCAGCTGGGCATGAAGAGATTTCTTTTCTTCCACCAGTTTTTTGAGAACGAATGCCTGATAGTTTTCATATTCTGAAATCTCTTGTTTTAACGTATGAACAGCAATCTTGCTTTCATTTATGATGGAAGTTTCATCGATGAGGAGTTGGTTTGCACCTTTTACAGTTTGCAACATCTCAAGCTCTAGACTTCTGAGTCGATCATTTTGCGTTTCAGACTCATGCAATGATTTTTGATAATCTTTCAAGTTCTGTTCACATCGATCCAGATCATAATTCTTGGATTCAAGCTCTGATTTCAGCTGCATCAATTCGCCATGGTTGAATTCAACTTCTTCTCTCAATGCCCTGCACTCTTTCTCCAGTTGCAAACACATCTCTTGCCTTTCAAGCTTCTCCTCTTTCTCATCTTGAAGTTGCGATTCGATATCCATGCATGAGAGTTTTATTCTCTCCTTCTCAGCGTACAAGATGTCGTAAGCCTTCTTCCATTCCATCACCTGCATCAAACAAGCGTTAAGCGCCTCGCTTGTTTTCTGTTTCTCTTGCTCTAAACTGGTGACCACCCTCTTCAACTCAGCCAGCTTCTGCGTTGTTTCGCTTCTCTCAACTTCAAGCAGCAGCTTCTCGTTCACCAGATGGCTGTACTCTGAGCAGATCTCTTGGACTTCCTCCTTGATTTCTGACACTCCCTGCCAGGCTGAGCACCCCAAAGCGCCAGCGCGCAAGCGGTTCCAAGCGAGATGAGCTTGTTGTCTAGTGCAGGCGGCGAGGGAGAGAGCCAAGGAGTCTAAGGTTCCATCCAACGAGACCTCCAAGCTCAAGAGCTCCTCATGCTCCTCCTCGGCTAGTCGGTGCAAGTCTTCCGCCAGGGCATCCTTGTCCTTGAGCAGGCGATGCATCGCGTTCCACTCGTCTTTCATTCGGCTCATGGCAGAAGAAGCCTCCGTCACCCTGCATGGATCACGTTACGACACGTCCATCGACATGCTCTACCATACCTCAGCTCCAGAAATTGCACAGTGTGATCTCGAAGGCGAGTCGCTTCCAACATATGACACTGTTGCACCGTGGCATCAAAAAAGAGGTTCCTAGAGGCCTCAAGATCGGCTTGAATCTTGCTCTTTTGACTTTGACTGTTGTCTAATTCATTTCTGATGTTCTTGATTCGATCTTTCAGGTACAGATTTTCTTTTTCTAGCTTCTTACTTCGAACGTCGGCACATTCCAGTCTCTGTCCCAGAGTGTCGTTTGCTTCAGTGACTGTCTTGGCCATTGCATCAAGCTGCTGCTTCAGTTGTTTGCAGTCTTCCTCCAACATGGATCGCTTTTCTTTCGCTTCCATCAACGCTTCATCATTTCTGGCTGCATCAATCAAGAGCTTCTCAACCTGCGAAGTCAGCTGCATGTTCTGAGTTTTTTCTTCTCGGACGCTTGATTGTAAACGAGAGATTTCCAGCCTTGATAGATCAAGATCATCTTGCAGAGCCTTACAATCCTCATTCATCCTGGACAAGTTTTCAGACGACTCCTGGAGAAGAGACTTCTTGGTCGCCAGCTCTTGATTTGCGGATTGTAACTTTGAAGTCAACCCCGCGATTTCTTCTGCCAGCACTTGCTTCTCAGCCTTCATCTTCTCGGTCTGTTTCTGAAGCTCTTCTTCGGATTTCTGAGACGATTCAAACAACTTTTTGACCCTGGCTGCTTCCATGTCAAGTTGGGCTTTCGTACTCTCGAGCTCAGCTTGGACGGTTTCGAGTTTGGAGCAGATGGAATCTGAGCCTTGTCTGCTTTCATCCAGCTCTTCTTGAAGGTTGAGGATTATGCTCTTGCCCTGCTCCTTCTCTCTTGACAACTTTTCGATTTCAAGTGTTTGTTTCTCGATGACGCTGAGAAAATGCGAATTTTTTGCACATTGCTTCAGGTATAAATCCTTTGCATCGGAAATCTTTGCATGAACATTGGTCGCAAACAACTCAAAATTCTCAAGATATTCTTTGATTTGCAAATTCCAACGATTGGTGTCATTGATTTTCATCTCCTTTTCAGATTTGATTTGAAGATTCTCAGCTTTCAAACTTTGCAGATCCGGCAGAATCATTGACAAATATGTCGATGATTTTCCGATGTGCCCATCCAGTGTGTCAGCATAAGCTTGCAGCAATTTCTGCTGCTCAAATTCAAAGTGTTCCTGCTTTTTCAAACCATTTGCAGCGTTCCCAACATCTTGTAAACACAAGACAATTTCCTTGATGACGCCTTGCAGGGCTTGTGCGGATGATATTCTGAATTTCTTGAGTTCCTCTACTTTTCTTTCAAATTCAATGGAATTTCTTTCCTTCTCTTCTTTCAGTTTGTGAACAAGCTCATTCAATGCATCATTTTGAAGCTTCACATTTTGATACTCCCGGCTGCTCTTTTCATACATGCTAGCAAGCTTCCTGCGTTCCAATGAAAACTCGAAGTTCAACACTTGTAGCTTGTTGCTCAAGTCCTCCTCAGCGTCCTTCGGCTCCAAGTCCTTGCTAGTGCTCATCTGGGAGATCTGATCGAGCAACTGCAGTTTCTCTGAGTCACAGGTAGCAAGCTTCGAAATCAACTCCTGAACTTGCAGGTTGAGACCTGTAATCTTATCGTCCTTTTCCTTGATCTTTTCCTTCAGGGCATCTTTTCCTGTTTGTGAGGATTCAGCAATCACGTTCAGAGAAAACATCTGTCCTGCGAGGTGTTTAGCGAAGTGCTTCCAACTTCGCAGTTGAATATCAAAAGATTGATTCACTTCTGTCAGTCTCATTAAATCTGAATGTGATTCACAACTCTCCTGAACCAACTTAGCACAATTTTCCTTGCTTCCTGACGACTGGTCAAAACCATCGGAGACTTGGCTTGTCAGCATGTTTGTCAAACTATCCACATGCCTCTCGAGCTTAGAATATTCGAATTGTTTTCTGCTATATTTGGAAAGTAAAGAGGTGAGGTGAGTCTCGAAAGACAAGAGAAGCTTCTCAAGTGATGATTGCATGTCGACACCATCCACTAGGTTCTGCAGGAAATCTTTCTCACTTCTCAAGGTTGTCAGAGAAGACGTCAAGGAATCGAGAGCTGCCATTCTCGTCAAAGTTTCGCTTTCATGCTGTCGTTGCAAGCTTGAAACCTTGTCTTTCCACAGCTGAATCTCCTCGCGCGCATGGCTGACGTCAGGATGGGAACAAGGATGTTTCATATGGTTCTGCAAGAACTTAACTACCCACATGCACTTTTCTATCGGGTTGACATTGTTGAAGCTTTCGTCCAAAAGCTTTTCAAAGTTCTCACGACGTTCGCTCGCCAAGTCCAGGGAGTCAACAAGTCTTTGCATGCTTGAAAGGAGAGCATTGGCTTTCAGCAACTGTCTCTTGAGATTCATGTTTTCATGTTCGGCACTTTCGAGCTTGTGCGAAACAATTTTCAACGAGTTGCTGGCGTTAGAGTTGTCACCTGAATGTCTTCTTGTCTCTAGATCTTCCAAACGTTTCTCAAGAAAATCACGATCAAGCTGAGTCGTCATGCGACTTTGAATTTGACAAGTCCAGCTGTCCATCTCCTCCGTTGTGATGGATAGCTGGAGGGAGACATCGTCAAGCTCTAGGCTGATGCTCCCGACCTCTTGAAGGAGCTGCTCAGTCAATGTTCGAGCCTGAGCCAATGCTTCGCTGCCAAGTCTGTCGCGGGTAGCGGCGGCAAGGAGCGAATCTCTTTCTCGCGTGAGAGCATCCAACTTTGTTATGAGCCTCGTCTCCTTGCCTTGCAGTCGCTTGACAGACTCGGACAAGAAGCTCGATCGCATCGCTTCCTCGTCCAACGAGGCCTGCAGAGTCTCGAGCTCTCGCTCAAGGTTGCCAGACTCCTTCTTGCGATGGAAGCATGCTTCGCGGCACCACATCGACAAGACCTTTGACAGCCATCTCTTAACCTTCTGCTGTGAATCTCTCCAAATCTTTTCTTGCAACAAATTTTGCAACAGAGTTTTGAATTTCCATGAGTTCAAACATTTCAAGTTGGACAGGTGATCATGATACTTGACTACCTGTTGAAATGAAAAATCTCTCCACTTCTGAGCTTTTTTCTGTGCTTCCCTACTCACAGACTCAAGCGCAAAAACTTGATTGTGGAGCTCAGAGGTCTGATGTGTGTTACTATCTTGAGAATCATCTGGTTTCAAATTCATTCACACACGTGACAGAGAATAAAGATACCTTTGTCTTGATATCTTGTGACCTGCAATTCCTGTTGCAATTGGATCATCTTGCGCTCCAACCTCTCTTGTTCTCGCCTCCTCAGTTCTCTCTCAGATTCAGCCTCGAGTAGCCTTTGAGCTAGATGAGCAGCTTGAGACTTCTCGCTTTCAAGCATGTTTTGAAAATGCTCGTGCTGCTTGTGGAGGTCTTCTTCAAGAGAAATCACCTTGGTTCTCTCATGCTCGATCTGCACTACCATGAGTTCATGATCCTGTGCTCGCCTCATCCCACCTGTCGCTTCAAGACTTGATATGCTTCACCCCGTGCATTCACACACAGATTTCCCTTCCATTCATCAAAGACAAACTTCATAGAAAAGAGCATCTGCAAGTGTTTTTTCATGTCATAGACATGCAGACTTAAGTTTTCTATGATGATAGGATCTGAGGACGTTCTTGTCTGTTTGTATCAAGGATTACTCGAGATTGAACGTGCAGATTATCAAGCACCTCAGATCGAGAGGCAACCGCTTGAAGCTTTTCGTGAAGCTCGGTGTTTTCTGACTTCAACGCAGCCATCTTGTTTTCAAACATCTCTACCATCTGCAGCAAATCTTAACTTCGGTCTTATTCAAAACCATGGGAACCTGCTCAAACTCTTTCATTTCTTCTTGTTCCTTTTCATACTGATTTTGTAGCCTTGCCAACTCTTCTTCTAGTTGCATCTCTCTCTTTGGATTTCTATTCTGCACGTCGTTTTCCATGCGCGTTATTGTCTCATACGCTCGCTTGAGCTCAACTTTCAATTCATCGTTCTCCCTCTCTAGCTCTTCGCATTTCAGCCAGATATTCTGTATAGGATAAGGGAATCATTGGTTTGCTACAAAGATTCAGGGAATCGTTATACCTTCTCTTCTGGCATAGAATTCTCTTTCAGTCGTGGATATTCGTTCTCATTCCAGTCCTCGGAAGTGTCCTGCATGGCTGATTTCTGTAAGATCCTTGACATGAGGGTACTAGGCAGCGTCGATGCTCTATCATCAGAACTTGCATCTCTTGGGTGAAACGGAACATCATTTTCGTTAGGACGTCTCGTTCTAGCTATCGTGCCAACGAAGGTCGACCGCTGATGCAACACAAGATCGTTGCCATCTCTGATGATCTTTGACTCGGGGCCAGCTGGTCTCCTGGTGTACTTGGAAGGCACCACAGGCAGGATGGTGTGGCTCCTCTCCTTCCCTGCCGCGCTCCCATGCGTTCGCTTCATCGCTTGCCCCCCTCACCGACGCTCTTGCTTTAGCATTTCGTTCCTCCAACGGCTCCGAGGGTTAACAGGCCCTTGCAGGACCGGGTCAACAAGGATCATTCTTCAACGGTAGTGTCAGTCACCGCCGGCCCGGCCCGCGAGTGACCGCGCCGCCCGGGCCGGCCACGGGGCACCTGAATCCAAAGTTCGTGCCCCGGCCCGGAATAGCCGCAAGGCGTAGCTGAAAAAGACCAGATCACTTGCTGTCCTCATGAGGTATTAGGGTATGATTCTGAGGCAGCTTTTTATTCCTATTACCAAGAAGATTGAGGAAACCTGTAGAACCGTCGCATGTGGGAGCATTGCTGGAGCAACGCGACAGAGGATCGATGAGGAATGGCGCAGAGGGCAGAGAGAAGAGAGAAGAGAGAAGAGAGAAGAGAGAAGAGAGAAGAGAGAAGAGAGAAGAGAGAAGAGAGAAGAGGGCAGAGGGCAGAGAGCGGTCTGAGTAATGCTGAAGAACTTCTGACGATCGTGACATTTGCAGTGAGCTAGTGATGAATAGTTCATCCAAGATTGGCGACGCGCATAGGAGGAAGAAGAAAATCACACCGAGACAGGTGTCTGCAAGAATATTCTCGATTCAATCTTGATCACCGTGATCCTTCCTGTTTGAAATGATGAAGTAATAGATTTTTTTAGTTTGGTCGACGAATTGCCGTAGTCTGCGCATGCATTCTGATAGCATTGAACGTGTATCGCGTTTGGTTGAAGTATCGGATAAATGAATATCGCAAAAATTCTGGTCTGTTAAGTATCTTTTCAATTACTTCTCTGAGGATTAATAGAATCATCGACTCCACGTGTAAAGACAAGCAAGAACGTGACATGTGCTGCTCGTCAAAATGACCTAGTTCAGAGTATCACGATTCTTTCCGGTGCCGCGATGCTGATACTTGGTGCAGATTGCTCACCTGTGCGATGTGGGCGAGTGATTCAGGAGGGTTTCATCACTCGGGAAGAGTGTGGCAAGATTATAGGTGACTGATGGTGGGAGACTATCCCAAGTCCTGATGCAACAACAGAACTTGCTGAATTTGGTATGAAACATGGTGGAGGCGCTGGTGGAGCAACCATACTTGACTTTCCCAGTGGAGCGCTTTCTCGTGGAAATCAATTCATCAATCTCCATCAGGTCCATGGAAGCCGTGAGAAACGAAAGTGCTTACTCATACAGCAAGCTACTGTCCAGCAAGGGACAGAAATTGCCTCAAGAAGGTACGAGACTTTTGAAAGAAGTTATTCACCGAGTGAGAAGCACACGTCAGTCAGTGCAAAATTTACTGAACAACAATACCTTAGATCCGGCAGGAGATTTCTAACCATTTCGGTGTGAGTTCGATCATGGGGACAACTCCGCGTTTCGTTTCAAGGATGGATCAGAAGCCTGCACAGGTGAACGCTTGTCAATGAACACGCCTGAGGGGATGACTCATCACTAAAGAACATGCATGACGAATACTGGCATGAGCACGTGGACGCGAATCAGTAAGAAGGGCCCCAAGGGTGGAGTATGCAAAGAGGAAGGATGATTCAACGCACAGATATCCGGGGTTCGAGTACACAGCATTAATCTACCTCAACGACCAGGTGAGGCTCGACACATGGAAAACTGAAAGCTAAGCTATGAAATGAGGGGCTTGACTACACGGGGGGACTGTTCTCGTTCATCGACGAGGACATCGCCAAGGTATCTTATCCCTTGTCTTTTCTCTTCGGATCGACATGCAAAAATAGGGGCAGGCAAAGGTCGAGACCATCAGCCCTAAATGTGGAAAGTGAGCAGAAGCCTTTGAGTTTCATAGATATGACCATGCTCCAGGCTGGTCTACTTCACTTCTGGTCCAGAGAACGTGCATAGAGTGCACAAGGTACGAACCTCCTCAGCGAAGTACAATGTGCACTGAACCATGAATGCAGGTTGAATCGGGGCTCCGATATGCACTGACGATTGCCTTCACCTGCGACAAGAGCAAGGTGAGCGCGTTGGTATTCGTTGGAGTGTGTGAAGAAGCTTCAGGAGCTTTCGGGGGAGTGGAACGCGTAACTAGAGCTTGACAGTACATTGCACGAGTTATTAATTTGTCAGAATCTATCTGCACCGAATTTTACGATGATGGAAGGAAAATCTCTGCGAGTCTGCATAAAGTAAGAATAGATGTTTTGCTCTGATCTTCGTCGCTTATCGATGAATGTCTGGCGATGTGACTAGTGAAGCTGTCACATTTGTCTTGCACACACTGCACTTCCGAAGATGGGTTTTGGTCCTTAGGAACACTGTCAGTATTCTGTAAGTGCTTCTTAGACTCCGAATCTTGCTCATGTGGGATTTTCATCGGAGGGAGAAGACATTGGCTGACATTCGGCAAGCTCGTGTTGTGTACAAGATTCTTGAGATCGGCCATTGAAGAACTGATGGCACTGAATTCTTGGACTCCATCGTTTTGATTCATCTCAGTCCACCGCTTACTCCATTCAGCATTGATGGAACGAAGAGTGTCGATCAGCACATCCCATTTACAGCACAACGAGTAGGCTGCATGGCGCTCTTGGAGCCTTCGATGCCCCTCTTCCAAGGCTGCGAGATCTGCTGCAACATCTGGGTTTCTCCATCTGCGGCCGCGAAACATGCACATGCCAGCACCTGTGGGGTCTTCAGAGATGCGTACAGCCTTCCTGTTACGAAATCTCTCAAAGGACCCCGATTTCTCCAGAGCTCGAAGCATCTCTGCTTCGCTGATGGCTTTTCTGTTTGCTGTGTACTCTCCGCCTCGCCTTACCACTGCCGGAACGCATCGACTGAGAGCACCAAAGGGGCCACTAGCACCATGTCGAGCGATAAAAGAACGTGAGCTAGCTCCCTCCTTTGTTGTGACCATCTGCGCGAACTCCAACGCCAACAGCTGGTTCTCTGTGGATGCACGGGGACGAGGCATGCTTTCTGTTCTGTGACAGCCGCTAAAGGTATGCCCACGATCGCCGAGAGGTACGCAGAAGCAGGAGGAAGTATGCCGAGCAAACTGAGAGAGGTTTTCTGGAGGGGGCCGATGGATGATGTAAAGATGATGCAGTGAATGTTGAAGTGCAATGCCGTTGCGGCGACCGCAGAAGAGAACTGCTCAAGCTTGGATTGAACCGAGAAGCAGAGGAATCCTTCAACAGGGAGGCAGACGGTTGAAGAGAGGTCGACTGCTGCAGGGAAGACGGGGCGTGAGAGAATGATCTGCCAGGAGCGACGCAGTTAGTTCCACGTCCTCACCATCACGACTGTGGCCCCAGTGGCCGAATGTTGACGGGCAGCGGTTGATCTAGGGGGTGGGGGTTATCATGCCAAGGGTACAGGTACGAAAGGAGCTACCTCACCCCTTATCTGAAATCTAATTTCAGGGGTGATAGAGCAGAAGGTGGTCATATTATGGGGGTACCTCAAGAAACGTGGTGGTACCTGATGAGGGGTTATAAATTTGATGTATTTTGAGTGGATCCCCTTCATCAACTAGAGCCACACGAGATGGTGGGGTGGGACACTGGGGGGTACGGTAGTGTGGTGTACTACCCGTTCATTATAGGGAATGTCGCACTCCACCACCGGGGGTCCGACCATCGGTGCTGAGTGATCACTCAGTGGCATGAAGTGGTCCCAGGTAGGGGCCATATCACAGTACGTTCTATGCTAGTAGCACCCGGTAGGTTGACCGTAGCTGTGGCTTAGGAAGCCTAGGACCTCAGGAAGTACCGGGTGGGAGGGCATAAGACGACGACCCTAGAGTCACGGTTGGGTCCGACTTGCTGCCTCTTCGTCTCCAACAGTCACCGACAGTCACGTGCCCGAAGCCGCCGGCCCGCCGCCGCCGCCGGGACCGTCGATACCCGGTGGCCCGGGGCCCGGTGACTGGCAACGACTAGCAAACTTGATCACCGCCAGGGGCCCCTCAGGACGAGGGCCTACGGTTTTGAGGTGACGCCGCAAGTTTGCCGCGCCCGGCCGCCGGGCGGCAAAGCGGCTCACTGGCCGCCCCGCTCATCAGGGCCGGGCCGTTACGCACAGCGGCGGCACGGTAATACGGCCCATAGCCGGACCCGGGCCCCGGGCCCCGGGCCCCCGCTACACGCACTGCCGGCGGCACTGCGGCACACCGTGCAATCGGCGTGACTTGAGAACATTTCAAGCGGCTGGGCCGCGACTGTGACTCAGGCTCTTCAAGCAATGTCCGATGATGCGCCGGATGTTTCCTCGCCATGTCCATGCTCGTGCTGCGCTCACGCCCCGCCGCCGAGTCAGCAGCGTGATATCCTCACCTTGCACAGCCGCAGGACGTACTCGCTCAAGTTGCAGGATAGGGCACCATCTTCGCTCATTTTCCTGAGCGGGACCTGCTTTGTTTTGCTTGAGGCACATTTTACCTTCTGCCAGTAAATCTTCCTTCCCATCCTCATGGCCGCAAAAAGATGGGGGATATTCACATCCCTGGGATCCGAGATCAAGGGTCTGAGCAGTACGAGGGCTTGATGGCGGATGTGACGTTGGTCCACCCCTATATTGGTGTTTGTGCAGCTTCTCGCTGTGCGCTGTGTGCAAGCAGGTTTAGCTTGTTCCTGCTTTGTTTTGCTTGAGGCACTTTTTACCTTCTGCCAGTAAATCTTCCGTCTTGGTAGCTCTGCCAACCTGAACAAGTGGGGGCCGGGAGGTCAACCTCGACGCCCTCCATGTTGCAGCGTTGGAGAAGATTCGCAAACATCGCGCTGCATATGCAATGACTACTCCTCCTTCAAGTCGCGCTTGGGCTGGCGCTGCCGCGTCTGGTTGCCAGCAGTGCTGGTTCTTTTCGGGCTTGTGTTTTGTGTGTGATTGTGCAGCTTCTCGCTGTGCGCTGTGTGCCTGGAGGTTTAGCTTGTTCCTGCTTTGTTTTGCTTGAGGCACTTTTTACCTTCTGCCAGTAAATCCGTAGCTCACCGCGTTCATCCCTCTTGCCATCTCGACGGACGGTTCTCTGCATGCTGACACCCTCCGCTTCATCTCAGTATCCGTCCATCACTGTGACGTCGGGTGCCTCCGGAGAGCTCGACACCACTGGAATGCTTGCTCAGCGCCTCACCATGCAGCTGACGCTGGAGGCGCTCTTGTCTGGTGCGAGGCGCATGACGCCCTTGCGGGCGCAAGCACTTCTCGAGCCAGAGGACAGCTCCTCCTCGGACTTTGTCGAGTCGCCCGAGGGGGAGTCTTCGCCGGAGGTCTCCGACTCCGATGGGGGAAACACTTCGAGTGGCCCCGACCCGTCTCCGTCCCTCACTGTGACGTCGGGTGCCTCCGGAGAGCTCGACACCACTGGGGTGCTTGCTGCTGGTCCGAGCACGCCTGCTTCCTCCCCGGCCGGGCATCGGTCGGGTCCCGCCGGTCCGCTTGGGCATTGCCGCGGCGTCGCCGCCGTCACGGGCGGCTCCCGCTGACTCGGCTACCGCTGACTCGGAGGCTAGCCTGTGGCGAGGAGGACTACCTCGAGCGGTACCGTGTTCCTGTGTCCAGCCTCCCTCCGTCCGCCCAGTGCCCCAGGCGGACCCCCCGGCGGGCAACGCCGGCTCCTTGTCGGCGGCTGCCCTTTCTCCGTCCGCGACCGCCAGCTTTGTGGCGGCAGCGGACGTCTCGACTGACAGTGGTCAGTCGGCTGCCTCCGGGTATCGCGTCTAAGGGATTTTCTTCCTCCTGCATGCTCCTGCTGCTTGTGACAGTATCCACCCCCTGCTCCTCCATATCGCAGAGCTTTTTCCCTCTGTTCCGAAGTTCGAGTCTTGGCCTATGCTGACAACGTCGTGCTTGTCGGTCCACTCGAGGATGCCGTTGCAGCTACGTCCGCTATGAAGAAGTACATGTTAGCTGATCTGAAGCTAGAGATTCAACCTCGCGAGTCGAAAGTTTACATTCCCTCCTGGCATCAACACCCTGATCTCTCGCAGCTGAAGAAGAGCCTTAAGCGCCGTCTCAAGACTCAACTTCTTCACTTCGAGGTCGTCACTGGCGGGATTACACTTGGCGGCCTGCCTATCGGCACGGATGGATTTCATGCTAGTCAGCTCCGAGCGAAGGTCTCTACCCTCAACGAAGAGCTCTCGAAGCTCGGGCTCGTCCAGCATGGCTTCATGTTCAAGACGCTGGTGAGGGCGAGCCATCTCCAGAAGCTGCGCTTCTTCCTCCAGGGGTCATCTCCGTTTCTCCCGCGGGTCCAATCACAGATTCGTCGCTTTGACCTCTCTGTCCACCTGGCGCTTGAGAAATACCACCGCTGGCCTTCCTCGCAGTACCTCGCCGCGCATCCCGACCTGCTAGAGTTTGCGAGGTTCAAGCGGGAGCTTCCGCATAGTCGGCTTTGTTTTGCTTGAGGCACTTTTTACCTTCTGCCAGTAAATCCTCTACTATACGGCTATCGCTCGCTTCCTCGCTTGGTACTCTGACCAGCCGATGTCACGGACGCTGCCCTCTCCTCATAGCCTGGACGTTCACTGCTCGAGATCTCTCCGTGCCCAGAAGCATCCTCTGGTCGGACCTTCTTCGTTGAGGCGCACGACTTCGTTCATAATGCTGGAGCGATCCTCTACCGTCGTGTCAAGGCTCCTGCACCGGCTGCAGATGGCGCGGCGATCCCACCTGCCCCGGCTGATGACGGAGGACGCCCCCCGGCATCTGTGGTACACATCCCTGGTTTGCGCGCTCTCGTCGACTCGTCTCATGAGCACTTCATTCCTCCGCCTGCGCAGCGAAATGTGACCCCTCTTGTCATGCGCGTCTTCCCTCGCCATGTGCATGCTCGCGCTGCGCTGACCGATCAGCAGCGTGATATCCTCACCTTGCACAGCCGCAGGACACACTCGCTCAAGTCGCAGGATAGGGTCTTGCAGTCTACCATCTTCGCTCATTTTCCTGAGCGAGACCTGAGCCACTCTCCGATGCGAGTCTCGAGCTACTACCCCCTCAAGGCCTTCCCGCACCGCTATGCTCAGATGCTCGACTGCTATCTCCATGGCATCCCTCCGTTGCTGCACATCAGAATGTGATGGATGTCAGCGCGAGCTCGATCCCTCCGTTGCTGCACATCATCTCCAGACCTGCAAACGCCGATCCTCCAAGCTTCCCACGGCGCATGACAACCTTACTCGTACGATTCGGTCGATGCTGAACGAAGCTGGTCTTCAGAGCGTCATCGATACAGTGGGGGATCCTCGTTCTCGACGGCAGGTACCCTCCCATCCTGACGTGACGTTGGTCCACCCTTACATTGGTAGCTCTGCCGACCTGACCAAGTGGGGGGAGGTCAACCTCGACGCCCTCCATGTTGCAGCGTCTGAGAAGATTCGCAAACATCGCGCTGCATATGCCATGACTACTCCTCCTCGAGCGTTCATCCCTCTTGCCATCTCGACGGACGGTACCCTGCATCCTGACACCCTCCGCTTCATCTGGTATCTCGCGGACATCATTGCTCAGCGCTCGATGCCTCTTGAGGATGCGGCGTTTGGTCGGCACTTCGTGCCTGATGACGGACCTGCTGCTGAGGTCTTGGCTCGCAAACGCGCCGCCACCTATCAGCGCCTCACCATGCAGCTGACGCTGGAAGCGCTCTTGTCTGGTGCGAGGCGCATGACGCCCTTGCGGGCGCAAGCACTTCTCGAGCCAGAGGACAGCTCCTCCTCGGACTTTGTCGAGTCGCCCGAGGAGTCTTCGCCGGAGGTCTCCGACTCCGATGGGGGAAACCCTTCGAGTGGCGCCGACGATCGGCGCGGAGCTGGCGAGGCGTCTCCGTCCCTCACTGTGACGTCGGGTGCCTCCGGAGAGCTCGACACCACTGGGGTGCTTGCTGCTGGTCCGAGCTCGCCTGCTTCCTCCCCGGCATCGGTCGGGTCACGCCGGTCCTTGGGCATTGCTGCGGCGTCGCCGCCGTCACGGGCGGCTCCCGCTGACTCGGCTACCGCTGACTCGGAGGCTAGCGAGGAGGACTACCTCGAGCGGTACCGTGTTCCTGTGTCCAGCCTCCCTCCGTCCGCTGCCGGGCGGCCCCAGGCGGACCCCCGGGCAGCGCCGGCTCCTTGTCGGCGGCTGCCCTTTCTCCGTCCGCGGCCGCCAGCTTTGTGGCGGCAGCGGACGTCTCGACTGACAGTTACAGTGGTCAGTCGGCTGCCTCCGGGTATCGCGTCTGGGAGGCATAGGATTGCGGCATAGGATTTACTGGCAGAAGGTAAAAAGTGCCGCGTCTAAGGGATTTTCTTCCTCCTATACCCCTCCTGCATGCTCCTGCTGCTTGTTGCATGATTGCCTGACCCTTAGGCTGCTTGTCTGCGCGGCTTCGCGCTTGGGCTGGCGATGCCGCGTCTGGGTGCCAGCAGTGCTGGTTCTTTTCGGGCTTGTGTTTTGTGTGTGATTGTGCAGCTTCTCGCTGTGCGCTGTGTGCCTGGAGGTTTAGCTTGTTCCTGCTTTGTTTTGCTTGAGGCACTTTTTACCTTCTGCCAGTAAATCCATTAGTGCCCTTAGTGCCCTCATTACTTTGATGGGAGCATCACTGAAGGCGCAAGCTTGCCCTCTTGCGAGCATCTCCGTTTGTTCGCCTCCTACCTCTCCAGCTACTATGGAGACTCTGCTGACCTTCGACTCTTTCACAAAAGTCAGTCAGCCTCCGTTCAGTGTACCTCGGGCGTCTGTCAGGGCGATGTCCCCTCCAGCGTATTTTTCTGCCACAGTATCCACCCCCTGCTCCTCCATATCGCAGAGCTTTTTCCCTCTGTTCGAGTCTTGGCCTATGCTGACAACGTCGTGCTTGTCGGTCCACTCGAGGATGCCGTTGCAGCTACGTCCGCTATGAAGAAGTACATGTTAGCTGATCTGAAGCTAGAGATTCAACCTCGCGAGTCGAAAGTTTACATTCCCTCCTGGCATCAACACCCTGATCTCTCGCAGCTGAAGAAGAGCCTTAAGCGCCGTCTCAAGACTCAACTTCTTCACTTCGAGGTCGTCACTGGCGGGATTACACTTGGCGGCCTGCCTATCGGCACGGATGGATTTCATGCTAGTCAGCTCCGAGCGAAGGTCTCTACCCTCAACGAAGAGCTCTCGAAGCTCGGGCTCGTCCAGCATGGCTTCATGTTCAAGACGCTGGTGAGGGCGAGCCATCTCCAGAAGCTGCGCTTCTTCCTCCAGGGGTCATCTCCGTTTCTCCCGCGGGTCCAATCACAGATTCGTCGCTTTGACCTCTCTGTCCACCTGGCGCTTGAGAAATACCACCGCTGGCCTTCCTCGCAGTACCTCGCCGCGCATCCCGACCTGCTAGAGTTTGCGAGGTTCAAGCGGGAGCTTCCGCATAGTCGAGGAGGGGACGAGTTCACGCCCTCTGAGGGTCTACACCCCGCTGTTTACTGGGGCATAGGATTTACTGGCAGAAGGTAAAAAGTGCCTCAAGCAAAACAAAGCAGGAACAAGCTGAACCGGCAGGCACACAGTCCACAGCGAGAAGCTGCACAAACACACACAAAACACAAGCCCGAAAAGAACCAGCACTGCTGGCACCCAGACGCGGCAGCGCCAGCCCAAGCGCGAAGCCGCGCAGACAAGCAGCCTAAGGGTCAAGCAATCAGTGTAAACCAAGACGACTTACGTGTTTTGCGAGGCGGCAATGTAGCGTGTGGGACGAAGAGGGGGCTTTCCTAGCCGTCTTGCTAAGGTCCTCTCATGTCTGGATGCTTGGGTTTCACATCCTAGCATACAGTCTATCTCTCATGTGCTCCTCAATTCTGGTTTTATGTGCATTAAACTCGGTCTTGAGTAAAAACTGTCTTGTTACAACTAAGGTCGATGTGATATCTGCGTGACTTTGGACTAGTACAAGTCTAACAAACTTGTATTCCGTCGGTTATGAGCCTCGAAACTAAACCCTAAACCCTCTCTTCAATCAGGCCCTCTCTCTAGCCGCAAGTTGTTTAGGCCTCTCATCTCAGCCTCAATTTGTTTGATTGATCTTCGAATAGGAAAAACAAGCCTTTCCCAGCCAGATTGGTCGGTCGAATATCTGCTTAACCGTGTGGAAACGCACTTGAAGCTGATTCGATTCTTATTTTTCTTGATCTTTGAGTAGGATCAAATGGAACTACCAGGAGATCTGGCGGAAGTTTTCATGTCACATGCCGTTCACTTTCAGGCCTTTCGTTAATTTGGCACTTAAATTTTTCGGTAGGGTCTTTTTTTTTAGTAGGCGTGCAACGAGTTAGAGACCCCACTTCATAGTACCCAAGAGTTTTAGTTTATTTCAACAATCCTCTTTACAAGTTGTTTTAACGGTAGTTACAACGGTACCGACACATACCCTATGGTACTACTTTCAGTACCAGTTGCAATCCTCCTTGCCTTGACGGACCGTTGAATAGCGGCGCAATCGGGGCGGCCACCGTCGTCAAGGGCTGCCTCATCGCTCGGCATTGCCAAAAGGAGGAGCCTCGGAGATTGGAGCAAGAGAACAAGGTGATCCTCTTCATTCGCATGTTCTGTGCACTTTGAATTACTACACCACGTTGAAGGTTTAGACATGTCATTCAATCTGGTACCATGTCATGGTGAAATTTCGAAGTGGAATCATCCGAAATTGGAAAGGAAGAATGTCAACTTCTTTAACACTAGAAAACAAACTAAGAGTTTCTTCCGTCTCAACATCGATCTGCACAAGATTAGGACTACGGTAGTATGGTTAACTGCCACGGTTTCGCAAACGTGGGAAGCCCTTCTTGAAACCCCGGATGAAAAGGTCAGTGCAGTTGGACCATCAGTACATCACTCTTACAGAACAGAGAATCAAGTTCCTGTGCCTTTCAAGGATGAACCCTACATGTTAGAACCAACAGGCTGGATCAGGTTCGTTATATTTCGAGGGCGCACTGACAGTCACCTTGAAACGAAATTAGAGGACGCAATACACATGCATCTCTTTCAAGTTCGAAAGAATGGTACGATTGTGCACGTTTCACACAGAGATTTGGAGGCATCCAGATTGAACGCGACTTTACTCAGACATTAATTTACTTTGAAGGAGCTGCCACAACAACTGAGTGAAGTGTGCTCGAACCGAGAATTTCGAAAAGTTCCACCGGGATACAATGACATGGTTGAGAAGATCAAAGTGATCCGTCAAGAGATTGAAAGGCGAAATGTTCAATTTGAACGTTTCAGAAAGAATTTTATGGAAGATATCAAGGAGATTCAAGGAAATATCCAGGCAATCAACCAAGACCAAGAGATCGAAGCTCAGGACAAGCAGTTTGAAGCAGAGATCCAGGCAATCAACCAAGACCAAGAGATCGAAGCTCAGGACAAGCAGTTTGAAGCAGAGATCCAGGCAATCAACCAAGACCAAGAGATCGAAGCTCAGGACAAGCAGTTTGAAGCAGAGATCCAGGCAATCGACCAAGACCAAGAGATCGAAGCTCAGGACACCGACAATCAAGCAGTCAAGGTAAGGAAATTGATGATGTGTCAGTGTAATATATTGATTCTTTGATTTTACAGAAAAAGACAATGAAACGGAGAGTTGGTGGCATCGAAATCGACAACATTAGAACTGAAGGAAAGAGACTGCGCGTTGCCACTCCAGCCATGCAGGCATGGAGGGAGAAAATTCTGAAGAAGAGGAATTGATTTGTGTGTGTGTTTTAGTATCTGTGAATCAGGATACTGTGTGGGTGTTCTATGTGATACTCTGTGTGTGATTTTGATAAGTAAACTACTTTAACAACCTAAAGTGTTTGCATCAAGAACATGTATCCAAAGCTATGTGAAACGATATAAAAAACGAGCGTGAAAACGCGTATCTAAGAAGGAGAGTGGGAAGGAGTTTCATTCACTGACAGAGCCGCTGATGCTTTCATGAGCGTTGATGTGTTGCACCGGTTGTGAAGTGTATGATAAACGCAACGCTTCAAAAAATTTGCATGGGGAAAAGCAATTGTTGAGTACACAAAATCACTCAATGAGCGGCTCGTACTTAGCTTGTATGCCGTAAAAGCACTCAGGGAGCGTCTGGTACTTAGTTTGTATGCGTAAAAGCACTCAGGAGATGAACGGTTCGTATTTAGTTTGTGAGTGAATGCGGGTGTTATATGCCTGTTCCTTATAATAAGATCTACGAGAAAGAGTCGTACTGGATTGATTCGCCGGTTGCCCCGTTCTGGTTTGTGTTTGTATGGACTTCGATGTGGATTGCAGCTGTTATGAGTTCGATCTGGGTACAGAGACAGATCAAAAAACGGATCTAGTGAAGTGAAAGCGTGAAGTTTTTAAGTAAAGGCTTGAAATGATGCAGCTTCACCCTAAATCGTAAACCCTAAAGCCCTGATTTTAGGGTTTTGTAAAAAAGGGTTTTGATTTGGAACGGGGAGGGAGGAGGGAAGGGAGGGAGGGAGAGTATAAGATTGATACAGTAGTATGCAATCGTCGGATGAAACACGGAAGCTGTTGGATGAGCAAACAAGTCAGTCTGGTGAAGCACAGCAGGAGTTTATAGCGTGGGAAAAGAATATTTCGACTGTCCGGATGGGACTTATCGTCGTCACGCTTGTTTTACTGAGTGTTCAGTTCTTGTTGCTGCAGTTTGGCGAAAGTATCGCGCTACTTTGCGCAGCGCAAGTTGGGCTTAGAGTGCATAAGCCGCCGCGGACAGTGGTGAGTATAACGACGTTTGGTAAGCGGATATTCTACATGACTCCCTGTCTGGATAGCGTTTTCAGTCAGTCACAGAAGGCTGATCGGGTTATCATTTCCATTCCTAAGGCATACAGGAAGAAAGAGAACACATCATGCACACTGTCGGATTGTGATTTGGATACGATTCAACGAGACTCAACGCTTCAACGAGACTCAACGCGATGTGAACACATCATGCACACTGTCGGATTGTGATTTGGATACGATTCAACGAGACTCAACGCTTCAACGAGACTCAACGCGATGTGTTTGAATTCCCTAAGCTCACGGTGCAGTTTCTTGATAAGGACTGGGGTCCTGCGACCAAGGTTCTAGGTGCTTTGCTGCTGGAGCATGACCCGAATACCGTGATTATAACGCTCGATGATGACATATTCTACAACAAGCGTACAGTCGAATGGCTCGCTACTCACATTGATGACAAGGATATGGCGCTTTCGTTTGGTTGCGAGATGTGGAACAACCAGCACAGCAACTTCAAGTCGTTCACGACTTACTCCTTCTCCAACATATTTGTCACCACTCCGCGTGTTTGCAACGGCTGGCTAGTTGGTTGGACGGCTGTAGCTCATCGTGTTAGCAATTTCGGAGAGGATGTCTGGATGTATCTGGATAGACTCCCTCGGGGATGTTTCTATAATGATGATATCTGGATGTCTGGATATGTTGGCAGACGGGGTATACGTAAGGTCTATGCTCCCTGGGTGGTTTATCATGCGCATCATCGTCGCGATAAGGACTTGAGCCTGAGCACCATCGAAGGCACCCGCGAGCGGAACGCTTTCCCGTGTGCGGTTGACTTTTTCGGTTGACTTTTTCTGTTGAATTGTTCGGATAGCTAGAATAAAGAATTGGAAGAAAAAAAGGGTTTGATTGAGCAGGTTGAAGAGGGGAGTAGCTCTACGGAGTAGCTCTACGGAGTAGCTCTACGGAGTAGCGAGTTGTAGTAGTGAGTTATGGTTGACTTTGTGGAGGAGCTTCGCGGTATCATGTGCTCGAGCTCGCTGGTGAATGATCTGGATAAGAGTGTGTTGGAGAAGTGCGAGTGTGGATGCAGCTATGATCATTTCAAGGATTACTGCTGCAACAAGGGGTTTGAAGTGATTGGGGACGACACTCAGTACAAGCGTTACTTCTCGCAGTGTAAGGAGAATGCTGAGAAAGTGGGCGATCAAGGTGCACGGGAGCATGATGCAGGTTGTGAACGAGGTGAAGTCGATCCATCAGCTTGTTGATAATTTGCAGACGCAAGGGAAGGACAAGATTCACAAGCTTTGTATCGAGGTGATGGCGAGCTCAGCTCCTCCTGTGCGGAAGCGGAATGGCTGGTACATGTGCTCTATCTCTGGCACGCGGAGCGATTCGTGCATTGAAGTCGGGCGTAAAGGGAAGGAAGGGTCTTGTATTCTTATCCACCAGAAGTTCACGCCGTTTGTGCTCTGCATGTGGTTTGCGTGTAAGATCGGCCGTCTCCATCATTTGTCTTCTCTTGTAATTGTCCTTATGCATGCAGGCACAATACTTTGCCGGAACAAAGGCAACGAGTACGAAACGTAAACTTTGGAGGCATTTTTTTTATTATCAGCTCTAAGCTTAGCCTATAGATATGCCTATATCAGTCTCGTGATGTGATGCGGGCGCGGGGGCGGGTAGAGTGGGACAACCTTCGGCATCGGAATCGGGGTCATTACACCATCGCCGTTCTCATCCACACCGACATGCATGAACCGCTGCTCGGGGTCTTGAAGGGGTATGACGTTCTCCGGGATCATATTCACGGTCATATTCACGATGGGGAGTTCGATATCTTCATCGAAATCATCATACTCATCGGATTCTTCCATATCTTCGTTTTCGGATGACTCTTCAGACCCGGATTCGTTACTGTAAAATGGCTCTTCACCCTGCTCAACTGGGGCAGGCCCGGGATTCATCGAGCGGTTGATTAAGCTGCCCCTATACTCGAAAGGAATATAAGGAAACATAAATCTAGGTGTATAAGTTTCATTTGCAAGGGCTCTTGCGAGCTCTGCGGCCACCGCGGCGCCATCCCCTCCGTTCCCGCTCGTAGAAGTTCGCGCCATGCTTTTCCTCTGCCCGTCCGTTTCGCGCCAAATCTTATAATAGTCTTTTAAAGTACCGTTAAAGGTCACGGGGCGCTGTCAGCATGGTCACGTACAGTCAAACCGACCACCCCTTATTTTCATAGTCAATAAAAGTGATATTTTAAATCTATGGGGTACTGTCAGCCATTGCACGTCAACCACCCCCTACCACCCCCTGTTTTGACCATTTGAAATCTTTTTGGGTGTATGGGTGGGGTAGGTGTCGGAATTTAAATTTACTTATATATGACCACCCCCATGGGTTAAGCTTTTACTACCCCTTATCCTACCAGTCATCACCGCCAATGAGTATGGTGGGGGTGGTAATGCGTCCCCCTGTTCCCCCTTACTTAAACGCCGCGGCAAACCTCTGGAGTCCATTTGCCACGCGCCACGGCACCAAGGTTGGAAATGAGCGCCGTAGGGGATGTCGGGGCGGTTAAGTATAACCTCGATGGTTTCATTCTTGATGATATGTTCCTGAAGAATATGTCGGAACTTTATGAAGGTATTCTGAAGCCAATTGCAGATATCAATTTCGAGGAACAGTACAGTATCGTGAAGTATCTGGTTAACGAATTGTCTCAGAAGAGAAAAAATGCATCAGATAACAAGGTAGATGACGACAAGTACATGGCAGCTACCATTGCCTTCGAGATGATCCAATATGTAATCGATACGTGTGACTACAAGTTGGGTGAACGAATGAAGGATTTGAAGTACAGGAGGGATGAAAAATCGGTCAGTGAGCTTGACAAACTGAAAAATTTGAAGTTCAACCTCAAATACGTCAACAAGAAGGGGTTTGTTGCTTACCAATGCAACGAAAAGTTGGAGGTCATCTATCACAAAGACCAAGAATCAAGGAATACGTTTTGTTTCCTGAATGATTTCATGTTCGCTATGATGGAACTAAGAGAACACGACGACCTACAGTATAATCCTGTTTGTGGAAATGGGAATGAGTATGATAGGTCTGAATGGGAACACATGCTGGTATGCAACGAATGTTTCAATGCCAACATCAAGAAGGTTTTGGCTTTCATGAAGAAGATCATTGGTCAAGCGTACAGTAAGATCATGGAATTTCCACTGGAACAGATAAGGTTTTACCTGAAGTTGTTTGATGTTTTCATCATCCCTTGCAAAACTCTCTTGGAATGTTACAATTTCAAATCTGGGAAGTTTTCTTCTTTTGAGTTTATGAACTTCAAGAGCTTCTACTACAATATCATGCAACATCATGATAATCCCACTCAATTGGAATGTCTTCAATGTCATGAATACTTCAGCATTATGGGTATCTACGACATTCTCTTTCTTGATACTGCCAAAAAAAGCAACGATTACAGGATGCTCAGGAATGAAATCATAGGGAAGAATGATGAGATGAAACAGCTTGTGGATGAATTGCCATCATACAAAGCAATCATAGATCAGTGGGAATCGAAGAAGATCAAGTATGACGTCTGCAGTCTTTTCGAACATTTCAACACTGTGAAAGATATTTTATGCGTTCACGGAGGTATGAATGATTTGTTCACCAGACAAGCATTCCAGGAGCTTTGTTTGCCTATCCTGAGGTCTTTGGATGCAGTGTTGAATGGAAACAAGGACACGTTGCAAACATCTCTGAAAGATGTGTATGATCCGGTCATTGCGAACATTGTAGCGTGCATTGATGGCAAGTGTATCCAAGAACACATTAAGACCATTGAGAAGCTCAGAGATGAAGGAGTGCAGTCTTTAATCATGAAGGAGTGTGGTCAGGAGACTAAAGGATTCATGTACCAGTTTAATGAGCCGGAGTTCGTTGAAGTGTACGATTTGGTTAGAGCCATCATCAAGCTCAACGAGGATTATCACAGTGGGTTCAACCAGTTCGTTTGCTGTGACCAAGGCACTGGCAAGAATGGTGAATTGGTGGCCGAGTACAAGATGATTCATCCTCTGATGCCTTTGTTGCACTTCAGATTCAAACTGGATGAGTTTGATTGGGTGGGCCTCTTGAAGAACGTCATGTCTACAAGCGCCGAGTTCTTTTCTGTCTGGAAGGAACAATTGAAGGCACAAACGGGTTCCATTCCTATGATGATGGATATTGTGATGTATCCGATTAAGTTCTTGATGACCTTCATGCACTCAATCGTGGAGCCTGAGCTGGATAGCAAGTACACCGATGAAATGGAAAAGTATGTTTGTGCGATCCAGACTTTTTTGAATGATGTCCATTCAATCATTGAATTTCGAAAAGTTCCACCGGGATACAATGACATGGTTGAGAAGATCAAAGTGATCCGTCAAGAGATTGAAAGGCGAAATGTTCAATTTGAACGTTTCAGAAAGAATTTTATGGAAGATATCAAGGAGATTCAAGGAAATATCCAGGCAATCAACCAAGACCAAGAGATCGAAGCTCAGGACAAGCAGTTTGAAGCAGAGATCCAGGCAATCAACCAAGACCAAGAGATCGAAGCTCAGGACAAGCAGTTTGAAGCAGAGATCCAGGCAATCAACCAAGACCAAGAGATCGAAGCTCAGGACAAGCAGTTTGAAGCAGAGATCCAGGCAATCGACCAAGACCAAGAGATCGAAGCTCAGGACACCGACAATCAAGCAGTCAAGGTAAGGAAATTGATGATGTGTCAGTGTAATATATTGATTCTTTGATTTTACAGAAAAAGACAATGAAACGGAGAGTTGGTGGCATCGAAATCGACAACATTAGAACTGAAGGAAAGAGACTGCGCGTTGCCACTCCAGCCATGCAGGCATGGAGGGAGAAAATTCTGAAGAAGAGGAATTGATTTGTGTGTGTGTTTTAGTATCTGTGAATCAGGATACTGTGTGGGTGTTCTATGTGATACTCTGTGTGTGATTTTGATAAGTAAACTACTTTAACAACCTAAAGTGTTTGCATCAAGAACATGTATCCAAAGCTATGTGAAACGATATAAAAAACGAGCGTGAAAACGCGTATCTAAGAAGGAGAGTGGGAAGGAGTTTCATTCACTGACAGAGCCGCTGATGCTTTCATGAGCGTTGATGTGTTGCACCGGTTGTGAAGTGTATGATAAACGCAACGCTTCAAAAAATTTGCATGGGGAAAAGCAATTGTTGAGTACACAAAATCACTCAATGAGCGGCTCGTACTTAGCTTGTATGCCGTAAAAGCAGCTTGTATGCCGTAAAAGCACTCAGGGAGCGTCTGGTACTTAGTTTGTATGCGTAAAAGCACTCAGGAGATGAACGGTTCGTATTTAGTTTGTGAGTGAATGCATAGTCTCTTCCCTGAAGTTAATGTCGGTGCTCGATGCACGACATGTTCAATAGTCAGGCTAGTTGAATGCCATATTTCTCGTAGCGGTAGAAATGTACCCACATGCCCTGACAACATCATGCTGTGCAAACAGAAAGACTGCAGCAGTCTCTTTTCGAGGCAGGGCGTCTTTCGCCGCCTGCTGCGGGAGCAGCCGTCCCGTCTCCTGCAGACCCTCCCGGTATCTGCAGGCATCGATGACAACAAGGAAACAGACTGAGAGTCACAGTGTAGTCCTCTACCTCCTCCTCTGTCTCCATCGTCCCTACCTCACAGGGGATCAGGTCGTCTTCTTTGGCCCTTCCTGCCTTCATCCCATGGCCAGCGTAGAAGAGGACGACTAGCCTCCTCAGCTCTTGGTGCCAGCCTAGTCGCATCCCTGATAGCGTTTTCCAGCTTGCACGTACTTGTCCGCTCTAGTATGCAGAGGCCGAACACCCGGGGCGGCTCCAGGAACAGAATCTCCTGATGGAGAGGAGACTGCAGGAAGCCCGTTCCTCTAGCGCACAGTGACGGGATGCTGTTGAGGAAGAAACGTCATGCGACATAAATGACTAGAGGATGCGCATAACAGTGAGTATTCATAACAGTGAGCATTGAGGGATTTCTCTGTGGATTCAAATATCCTCTGTGAGGAGATACTACGGATACGAAGGGGGTAGGGTGGTGGAGGGGGGAACTTCTGTACCAGGAAACCTCTCTTTTGTACCAATATGTTTTCATACAGTACAATCTATACTACCATGTATGTGATGGGTAAAACTAAAATTGCAGTACCTCTAAAACCAACTGGCGGGGGAAGGGTTCCACGCCAGAGAAATTCAAATCACCCCACCCCGCTTTTGTCCAGTCTCTCTACCCCCCCCTTTGATCGGTGAAAACAGGGGGTAGTCAACAGGGAGTGTATATACGGACCCCATGTGAACCCCCAAAAAAGTAGAAAAAAAAAGACCAGATTTGCTAGGGGCTGCATATGGGTTTGTGAACCGTGCATGTGGAGCTAGGGCTGTGGCATGCATAACTGGAGCTACTTCTGGATCGGCGAACAAGGTACTACTGCACAACAATCTTCAAATGCCTTGAAACGGATGTTTCAAATCTCGCGGCAGCAATCTCTGGTCACAAGTTCTTTACGGTTCAAAATTTATCTTTTGGTCTTCAAATGCCGGCGGGCACGCTCTCTCTCTCTCTCTCTCTCTGTTATCTGAACTCCGAAGTTCTCTCCTCAGACTCTCTTATCTTATCCTCCTTCTCTCGTCATTGCATCAGCTCGCCAGGCATCTCCCTTATCTCTGCACTGCACATCTAATAGCCCTGCATGAAAATCTTCTTCAGAATGGACAATCCTTGAATCGTTATTGCCCACTCAGCATGACTGTGAACTTGACGTTGTATCATCGTATCTTGACTTGGATCTGCTGACATTCTTGTTTGCGTGACTTTCTGACGTCCGATGTACGATTCCAGGAAGTCGGGGGGAGGATGGAACGTATGCCAGCCGTGCCAGTCAGATAGCGCCGAGTTAACAAAAACTCTCCTGTAAACCAAGACGACTTACGTGTTCAAGGCGGCAATGTAGTACG